AATCAAACGGTGAGGTCCATTTTGTCATCCGAGTTCTAAAAAATTTTAGGTTTACGACCCGTACTATAGTGACAGAATTATCATCTTGCCCTTTTTCATAAAAAGTTTAAATTTATTCGGGTTTTATATTCTTCCCCCCTTAAAAGAATTTCGTCCCGGAAATTCACACATACATACACACTTAACCGTATGCATATGCAACAATGTCATTATACTTAAAATTATAAAACTTGTACCTTCATTTTCGAACAAGAACGGATAATTGATACGTATAGTGTCCTCACGCTCCCATGTTGCCTCCTCCATACCTCGGTGCTGCCACAACACTTTCACTAACCTCACGGTCTTACCTCACAAAACCTGCTCATGGCTATCCATGATATGCACCGGTCCCATTCGCGTCAACAATCATCTCACCCCAATCCACCACATGTGTCGAATCTGGAGTATACTTCCGAAGCATAGAGACATGGAACACCGTGTGAACACCTGATAGATTTGGTGATAACGCCAACCGATAAGCCACTGTACCCAACCTCTCAAGTACCTCGAAGGGCCCGATAAACCTCAGCGACAACTTCCCTCATTTTCTGAACCTGATCACTCTTCTCTTGGGCATCACCTTCAAGAAGACGTGATCTCCTACCTCAAACTCCAGAGGTCGCCGCCATCAGTCAGCATAGCTCTTCTGTCGACTTTGAGCCGGAAGAAGATGCTTTCGAATCAAATCCACCTACTCCGAGGTGTTTTTAATCAAATTCAAACCCATAGAGGGTCTATCTTCCACCTCCGTCCAACAGACCGGAGAATGGTAAGGCCTCCCATAAAGTGCCTCATAGGGTGTCATCTGTATGCTTGCCTGATAACTGTTATTGTAGGCGAATTCCACTTAGGGTAAGTGATCTTCCCAACTACCTTTGAGATCTAGGACGCATGCCCGCAGCATGTCCTCTAATATCTGGATGGTCCTCTCTGACTGACTATCCGTTTGGGGATGAAATGTTATACTCATCGTCAATTGAGTCCCCATAGCTCGTTGGAAGCTCTCCCAAAAGTGGGCGGTGAACCTGGAATCTCGATTCGATACTATAGATACGGGCACCCCATGCAACCTAACAATCTCCTATATGTACAATCTGTAGAATTTCTCGAGTCGGAAGGTCATCCGCACTGCCAAAAAGTGCGACGACTTCGTAAGCCGGTCCACTATCATCCACACTGCGTCATGTTCCCGCGATGTCCGTGGCAAGTGGGTCACAAAATCCATGGTAATATGCTCCCACTTTCACTCAGCTACCTCCAAAGGCTAGAGCAACCCTGCTGGTCTCTAGTGCTCAACCTTAATCTGTTGACACGTGAGACATCTACTAACGAATTCACCAACTTGCCTCTTCATCCCACTCCAATAATACTGGCGATGAAGATCATGATACATCTTCATGCCACCTGGATGCATTGCAAATCGGGAGTTATGGAACTCCCTAAGGATCTCTTCCCTAAGAATCTCTTCTCTCAGATCCACTAACTGGGGAACTATAACCCTTCCCCTGTACCGAAAGCTGTCATCTGAGTGAATGGTCCAACCCTCGTCACTAGTACACGACCCACTTTTTCTCGGGTCCGTTTTTACCCCGAAACGATTAAATTTTGTCTCAGTTCATGTTTAAAATAATTTTATTTTAATTTACCTTAAATTAATTTCCAAATTTTGAATTTTTATTAAAAATTTTATTTTGTGGGTGACCCGAGACTCGACCGCCTCGTAAAACGTAAAAAATCTAACTAATTTAGAATTCGATAAAATTTGACGTGATAACTAGATTTTATGAGACGAATCCAATGGTGAGGTCCGTTTCTTCATCCAAGTTCCAAAAAATTTTAAATTTACAACCCGTACTGTAGTGATAGAATTATCATTTTGCCATTTTTCATAAAAAATTTAAATTTACCCGAATTTTACATCAAACACTACACTTGATGGATAATGGGTGAGCTTAGGAAAGTTGGCTCAAGGACCCAATTGAGTCGCATTATTTACATAATAAATTGGGTTAGAATTAGCAAAATGGGTTAAATTATCCCTCAGGTGAGAGACCCAGTGTTTAGGATACGCACTCCCTTAGTTTAGTCCATAAAATGTGTCGGTGTATGAAAAATTATTGGTGGAAGTCCATGAATTTCGTGTTGGCTAAGGGTTGTTGGTGTAAGTCTATAATATTCACCCTAAGAAAGACCTGAAGATTTTTAAAAAGACCATTGGATATGCAACATCAATGGCAAGGGCTTGGAATGCCCGATTTTATACTCATGACATTGCATGGGTGATGAGAGCTAGTAAAGGCTCGGGTTGAGTTGCATTAGTGAGTCTCATCTTATTTCATGACACGATATAGTGAATTCCAACATTGAGTTGCATATTCTTGATTGGAATGCTTTGTAGCTTGTTGAAATTTCATGTGACATTTTATATGCATCTAGGTTGGGGAGTATCCTTTTTTAGGAGATATCTTATTGAGTGTAAGTCACTCTTTATGGGAAACATTTCAAGCACAGGGTATATATCGGTGGACATTTCACACTTGGGGCCTCAAGGATGAAGCAAAGCCGATTTGTGGCTTTTAAACCATATTTTGTAAAACAATTGCTAAATTTGATTTTGGACATGTAAATCTATGGAAAATAATTGTAATCGAACTTATATGAACTATTTTTAATGTAAAATTGTGTGTTGTTATATGAGTATAGATAAATGGACCCGGTTAAATCAATGTTGTGTGATTACACATGTTGTGTTTTGGGTAGAGTTCCCCATACAAATGAGACTCTGCCCAAATTTTGTTAAATTATGGATCTTTGTAAATAGGGCATAACGACATGATATCAAGTTATACGGTATCCATGAGTATTCTGCAGGTTGATGGGTGATCAATGAGTTGACGGGTGATCAACGGGTTAACAAAGGACCCCCAATTTTTGGAGCGTCACAATCAAACGCTTGTATGGGGTTGTTTCTTTTAGAGGTCAACCATTATTGTTCACATAGATCTGAGGTTGAGGAATAGTATACCTTTCTTGGGAATAGATTCGTCAATGCCATATGAAAACGGTACATGCCTTTCCTATAATTGTTTGTGATGTGGCTCTATAGGGAATGATTGAGATTATTTGTGATTGTGGTGGGTGAAGCAACCAACATACATGAGAAACTTAAGATGATGTTTATTAAATTATTCTTTCTGTACTCTAATTCCTAAATGTTTACTTATGTTATTGAATTACTGTATTCCGTAAACTTGAGATCGTTACAACTGACATTATTTTACTTTCAAAAGTTATATACACTATTTTTCTAATAGATACTTCCCTATTCTATGTTTTGAAAATCCTTGTTTGGATTTTAGAGGAATTTTCTATGGGCTTTTGTTCACCCCTTACAACAACATTTATAGATATTGACATAAAGGAGGATGTCGACTTAAATGAGTAGATAGATTTTGAGACCGAGGTCGATCAATACAATAATCTCAGTGGTGAGGATTAGAGTTATTTTTACAGTCGATGAATTTTAATCCATTTAGTTAGTGATGTAATAAACATTCGTTAGTTAGTAGTTTATTTTGAGAACTGGTATCATTTAACTATTTTTGAATGTAAACTTGGAGAAATCTACTTTGTTTAGTTTTGGGAGTTTTATTTATTTATGATGAATGGTGAATGGTGAATGGTTTTGATATATGTTTGGATGATTTTTAGTTGTTCTTATGGTTTGATGGTTGTAGACAGGTAATGCCCAAATTGTGGAATTTGGGGCGTTATAGAACCAAGAAGGTTCCTTGTAGTTTTTTTCGAGGAGGATTTCTGCACTAACAAATCACTTGTGTTCTTTATTGTTTATTGTACACACTTATAATTATTTGCACACATACACACTATGTATTTGTTGGAATGATTGTTTCATATTCATCCATACATAGTTGTGCAATTGGGTTCGGGATTTGGGATTGACGTGAGATTGATTATGAGCGAATGAATTGAATATTAATTTAATCAATCGTTATGGTGAAAATGGGTTGTGGTGACTAAAGAGGTTCTCACATTAATTTTTATATCTTTATGAGACGAGGTAATTGTGGTGTGTTATGTTTTAATTGGTAATCAAGTAGACTAAAATTGAAAAATATATTCACCCATCTCTAGGTAAAGTGTCTATTACTATACGTGTATAATTGTGATGGAAGATATACATTGAGTTTCCCCTCCTAGAACAACACATAGTTTGAAAGTTTTTTTTAGCTGATGCCATCATTAATGGTTAGTATTCATAACACCCGACAAATTAGGAGTTTAACGATGACAAGATTAAATGTTGATGTAATGTCAATTTTTAAATGTTAGGGTGCTTGTTCAATTTATGTTGAATATCAAGGGCCTGTGTTAAATTTACGATAACTTTATGCAAAAATCATAATTTAGCTCTCAAAAGTTCTACCACATCTATAAATTTTGTTTCAAACACATTCTTGTTAGTTTAAAAATCTCGCTCTCACACAAAGGTTTGTCTCCTTTTTAATTTGAGTTTCTACGTTAGAATGGTTTGTATCAAATGAAACATTTTATTCTAATATTAACTTAAATTTGAGTAAAAAATTAGAATAATGCTATTTAAATTTAAAAATTTAATATAATTTATTGATCTAATAATATAATTTTATAAGAATTATCGAATTAACATCAAATTCTAATATTTAATAAAACCCTCAATCAATTCAAACATTATAATAAATTAAGTTAACAAATGGTATCAATTAGTTAAATCCCAATAACCTTCCCCAAAAATTTGAATCAAGGGCGAAATGCTCTATCAGGCTAAGTCACTAGTGAACTATAAAAATGCGCGTACTTTGTTAGAAAAAAAAAATGATCACTCATGCTGCCGTTTATGTAGGTACTACATCGCTCTCGAGAAAAACTGTATCATTACTCACTGCGCACGGTGAAGAATGCGAGTCCTCGCCAAACGACTCTCGCGAGCTCTCTACTGCGCTGAGTCTTCTTCACCATCATCATCTCCTTCAGTCACTCCTCGTCATGGCTCGCTGATCTTAAAAACTCTCACTACTTGTAGCAAATCTCAGCAGTCAATTAAAGCCGCCGACCAAGCAGTGCGAGGCGTTCTCGCCACTCCGTGGTCCGCGACGCAGCTCCGTGGAGCCAAATTGCGCGGCGCCGATGTAAGTTTCCCTCCTGCTTATAGAGATACATACATACTTATATATTTGTTGAGATGAAATTGGTTGTAAAATCTTCATCGTAATTTTATGCAGGTGAGACCAGGAAATGTAGTTGAAAGAAAAGGTGGATTTTTTTAACACCGCTAGTATATAAGTTCTCTCTCTAAAAACCCTTTTTGATTAGTGTATTCAAAGACATGCTAACGACAATTTAATACAATTTGGTACTCTGGGCGGGGCTTGACCTAAATTCAGGAAAGATTTACCAGGTAAGTGGTTAGGCATTTCAATTCGGTTTCTTTCTTCATTCCAATTTTTGTGTTAATGTCAGCTATAAGAATTATAGTTTTTTTTTAACCATAAATCTGGGTTAGGTTGTGAAGGCACAGCACACAACGCAAGGCAGAGGAGGGGCCATAATTCAGGTTATTCTTGACTTCTTTATGTTTCAAGTTTGATTATTTTGTGGTATTTTTAATTAGAGTATCCTGGAATCATCAATCAACAAATGCACTTGTGTGTTTTATGTTGGAATAAGTTTGAATTTGCAATAATGGTGTGGCATTATTGGGAGCATTTGTTGACAGTCATCTGTTTTGTGGTCTATACTCAATAGGGGATTTTATTGGTCATATGTTGGGGGAGGAGGGATTTGATTTTCGATATGCGAGAACCAAGTAATGATATCTAGAAACTCACTTGGCTTGTAACATACAAATGTAGGCTTTATGGACAACAAGAAAAGAAAATAAGTGAAATGACTTATCCATGATTTATAGACAAGCTTGTATAAGTAGGCAATTATTGAGTTGTTGGGAATTATTCACCATCGTTAGATCAAGACACCCGTGTGCTCTATAGTCGTACCAATTCTCCTACACGATGCTAGCAATTTTAGGAGGTGATTATGCTAGAGATACAACCCTTGCTATTGGCTCAGTTAGTGTGTTCTGACCCAAGTTCCCATGTACTCTTCCATTTTTCTGATTTGAAATTGAGGTTCTTCAATGATTTTTTTTTCTATCTGAAAAGGTTTCAAGTTTTTATATCTTCTTCCTTGTCGTACTTGTTGGTTCAACTTGCACACATCTTTATAAGAAAATGATGCAAGTTTATGTTAATTTAGCCGGATTGTACTCTTGGCCTAAGCACTCAGAACTGGCTGATTGATGTAGGATGGTGAAAGGAGAAGAAGAAGAGATACCAAATCCTTGCAAATATTAGGTCATAAAACACAAATTCTCCATAGAGAATTGCTACGACCCTCTTTTTTTTTTTGATTCAATACAATGGGGGAAAAGATTGTATAGTTCCCTACCGAGACAAACTCTCAACAGATCCTCCGCGCGCTGGACATACCTCTTCCGTGCGTCTTTCTCGTGGGGGGAACAGAACAATAGGGAAAGACCAGGCTGACTGACCCAGGGCTCGAGGGCAAGCTTTATTTATTTAAGAGAGAATGACGAATGAATTGAGAGGCTTCCGTTTCTGTTCTTGGTTTGGGGGCTTTTGGGCTCCTCTCGATCTTTTTCGTAGTTGAGAAAGGAGAAAGAGTCTAAATCAATGGACATTAATGAACCATCATTGATGGATGTTGCACATGACATGATCAATTCGACTCAAGAATATGGAGACTCGATTCTTTCTCATGGATCCCAAAGTCGGGTTTTGGTTCTCTAAAATAAAAGTCAGCATCTGGTTTCAAGGATAAACATAGATTAGACCGCCCCCAANTCTCATGGATCCCAAAGTCGGGTTTTGGTTCTCTAAAATAAAAGTCAGCATCTGGTTTCAAGGATAAACATAGATTAGACCGCCCCCAACTTTTACTGTCAGGTGAGATAAGTTGCTCCCACTCCACAGGTTCTAGGAGTCAATCTATGGATAGGAATGGACAAAATAGTCTTCCTTTGAAACGACATACCCCTAAAAAAGTTTCCACCAAAAGTGTATGGGTAGGACCCCCCAGCCAGTTATCTGCCTTTGTTGTTCTTTAAGCTCTAAAAGTTGGTATTCTTTCCAGACATGATCCTTATTAAAGATGAGATCCCTTTTAGGGTTGTTGAGATGGATTCCTAGTTGATGTAGAGATTCCCTATGTTCAATTTGAAGATCACTCATATTCAATTTGAAGACTGATTCAACGGTGACATCCTTCTTTAGAGAGGGATTAGCATATAATTGTATAAACCGTTCGAAGTCCACATGGTCTCTTTGGTCTTTAAAACATAACTCTTCGGAGCTACGAAATATCCTTAAAGGACAATATGCTCTAACTTGAGCTTGTCCAAGACGGTGGATGAGATCTCCTTTTCTGGCAGTGGGCTCCCAAGGAAGGTTGAATCAATATCAATGTAGTAGTAGTCCTCTCTTGAGATGTATTTGTACATATAGATTCAAGCAGAGACACTAATAGTAGCAGAGAGCTGAACGGCCGAGATTCTAGGTGGATGCTATTCATTGTCCCCATCATTGAGAAGGTTCCTGGTGCCTTGGAGATTGACGTTGTTGGCCATGATCTCAGGGTCTGATTCACCAAAGCGTTTTAGGTTCTCTATTTTGACTAACCTCCCGGACGGGCCTCTAGTAGTTTGCACCCACCTACGGTTTGCAAATTGATGGCAAACTGAGTCTAAGAAAGATTACTCTT